ACAGCAGCTGGGCAAAGCCAGGCTAAGCACTTTGCAGGGACAGCTCCATGACACGAATCCCAGCCCTGGCTCTCCCTCAGGTCCCCTTGAAGGGCAAGGGCAGATCTGCCGCTCCCTAGCACCCTCCTGCCATATGCTTTATGCCGTAAAAGACACTGTCTTCACCATGCTGCTATGAAACAGGTACTTTGCCAAATTTGGGTCTCCAAGGAGGAAACAGGAGCTCAGAGCAGGCCGGTCACTCCCTTGAACTCCCACAGCTGGGGGAGAGCGAGGAGTGCTAAGTCTGGGCGCCCCGTGTCCAGGGATTCTCCACACTGCTCCCATCAGTGAGCAGTGTCTATCACATGACACTTGGGCCTCAGGCCTCTCCACCATCTCAGCCAGGCTCTTCAGGCTGTCCAAGAGTTAACACTCTTGGACTTCACATTTTGCTATCTGATTTATTTTACTATAATAGAGTAGATAATTGAGGCAGGTCAGGCTAAGAATATTTTTAGAGAGACCTCTGTGGGCTGGAAGCCTCCATGGAAAAACTGCTAACAGCCTTTTTTCCATGCTGGTCTAAATAAATGTATTTCTCCTACACGGCAAATATTTTAGAATGTATTTTCAAGGAGACTTGTGGAAAAATAAAAGAGGCAGCATGGCGGTGCCGCCTTTCCAAAGCCCACTGGAAAAGAGCTGCCAGGGCAGGGAGGCCAGCCTGAGGAGGCTCCCTCTCTCCTGGCCTATTGCGCCTCAGTTCCCTTGTCTGCAAATGGATGTACTGCTTATGTGGGAAAGAACAGGACTGATTGTGGGAACTTGAGACAGACCAGAGGTACGAGGGTTGGCTGTGGAGCAGGAGAGAAAGGGGCTCCGCCATTGCCAGAGGCCAGGGCAGGTCCAGAGAAGGACTTCTGGAGAGAAGAGTGGGACTCCAGGAGTGAGTGTTCTGGAGCGTGGGGCCTCCTGAGGAAACCTCGGGATTCAGAAGGGACTCTTGACCACGTGGGTCCTGGCTAGCTGCTTGTCAACAGGCACAGGACAGGACTCTTGTGGATGGATTATCACTCCCAAATGGGTCCTCCCTAACCACCTCCAAGTCTAGCAGGGTAGGGGCAGAGACACAAAAAGCAGCTTACCCCTTGGCCTGTCCTTCTTGGTGTGGGGCTTTGTTGTGTAATAGTTTCTTCTGATATTGAAACATTTCATCCTGTAGAGACCTCCTTAAGACTCAGAATAGCTTCAGGAAGCCCCTGAAACTGATGAGATTCACCAGGTCCCTTCCTACCAGAGTAAACAAGAAAAGCTTAGAATCCCTCTTGTAGGAAGTGAGGTCGAGCTGCCTGAGAGAAACCAGCGGAGACTGCCTGGAGGTTTAGAGCATCGGAGGCAACACCTGAGCCGCGTGCAGGCTGTGCCGGGTGTAGGCTTGTACTGCCTTCTCCAGGTTCCCAGCTGTGTGAGCTGCCCCCATGCCAGGGTGGGCTTTGGTGACGCAGCTGTCCTGAGTCACTTCTCCTGTAAGTGACCCCAATAAAGCTCACTGGTTCACTGAGTTGGACTTTGGTGGTGTCCATACTTGGGTCTGTCATGGGTTCCCTATCTGGGTTGAGTAGACATGTACGTTCTGCCCCCCCCCCCCCAGAAGTTTTGTTTCACAGCGTATGTGGCACCTGAACAGGGACACGACAGAAGCAAAGGAGGGCTGGGAGGAGTGAGTGCATGGGCCTGGCTGCAGGTGGTCCTTTCCCCTGTGTGTTCCAGTGGGCTCTGTGCCGACAGCAGCCTCGTGGGAGTGTGCTGTGCAGCTGAGGCTGAGCTACCAGGGGTGTCCATGGGAGAAATCCCAGCATGGCCGTCTTCATCGTGCCGTACGGGGTGGCCTGCCTGCATGATGAGTGGGGGCCCCTGTGAATATGGAGATGTCCTGAGAAAGTTAAAGGTTTAGAGGAGAATTTGCAGTCTTTGAGATTAGCAGGAGTGGAGGGGGTGTGAAGTTAGACGTGGGTGGGAGGCCAAGATGGCGGCCAAGGAGGTGCTAGTTTGTGTAAGAGAGCAATTGTAACAAGAAAGGGAGATGCAGTGGCATTTAGATAGAAGAGGATGAGAGAGAGATGACAAAAGCAATCAACATATCCCTCAAGTCCAACCAACCTTTAGTAGAAAATGACGGGAGTCTGTAATCCATGCAGAAGCAGACATTCACCGTGGTCCAAGCAAGAAGCTAGTGTGACCAGGAAATACTCAGCCCTCAAACCGCTGGAAGACAGGGTTTCCCTGTGTAGCCCTGGCTGTCCTGGACTCGTTCTGTAGACCAGGCTGGCCTCGAACTCACAAGATAATCTGCCTCCCGAGTGCTGGGATTGAAGGCGTGCGCCACCGTGCCCAGCTGGGAAGACTTGTCAACAGCAGTGGACGAGCCTGGTAGCCTGGCTGTGAGGCTGTGAGACACGGGAGCAGAGGGAGACAGTCTGACTGCTGTGGAAGCAGGAAAACAGAGTCATGTCCCTTCCCATCCCTCCTCAGGGCAAAGGCTGCATAGCGTGAGGCCCTGTGAGGGACGTCAGTCCCCGATGGACAGACTGGCTTACCAAAGCCGTTAGGAACTTGGTTATCTCTGTCTGAGGTCCCCCCAAATAACAGTGCCTGGAGGACCTTAGAGGAGGGGCAGGCACTGTTGAGGGAAGGAGTAGAGTAGCTCTGTTTGAAGATGGTAGAAAGCCAGATTGTATCTGAGGGGCTTCTGGACGCCTTTAAAGCCTGAGGAGCAATTCACAGAAGACGCTGGTGACGACAGCCCAGGTGCAGATGGTCAAGCCTGTCCAGGGGTGGGTAAAATTCCCCCAGACCCCAGGCCAAGGAGGGTACATAATCAGAAGGTTAAGGGGGAGGTGGTTTGCAGTCAGGGTCTCCCCAACAAGCAGGTGTGGCGGATGGCAAGTCAGCACCTAAGCCACGTCCACAGTGCCAGCCCAGCTCTGACCCAGGTTGCCAGCAGGTCCAGCCGGGGGAGCGTGGCTTCGCTCGGCCTTGGCCCTCAGGAGCGCATGAACAAATTAAGGGCCCACTGAGTTTATCAGCTGTGAAGAGATACAGGGAGGCTCCATGGACAAGCTCCAGGATAGGGAGACATAATGGCTCAGAGAGAATGACTGGGGATTACAGGACCTAATTACGCCTCTCCACAAGACCCACAAGATGAGTTCCCCTTTTTTTTTTTAAATTACAAAAACCAGGACAGAAACCTGTGGCGGGGAGATCAAAAGTCCCAACGGAGAAGCAACTGACACAGCTGCCCTGGGAAGGTGTGATTCGTCTGCCCGATTGCCTCTGTGTGTTTGGCCCCATGGGTCCCTCGCCGTCAGCCTCAACTCATAACCACTGGTGAAGCGCCTGGGAACAAGCGACTGTTGCCGTGGCATGGTGGCCTCTTCCTTAGCCACAGATGGACAGCTGTAGTGCCTCCAAGGCTCTGGGGACATTGTGGAAGATGGGGGAAAGGGAGAACGGAAGTGCAGTAGGAAGCGGTGGCTGTTATGCAACAGCTTCCTTTGATACTGGAACATTCTGTCCTGCAGGGAAACTTGAAGCAGGAAGGGAAACAACTCAGAGTGGCTTCAGGAAGTACCTGAAACCGACCAGATTCAGTAGGCTCTCTCTGCCAGAGTAAACAGGAGCAGCTGACTGTCCCTGGGAGGAAGTGAAGCTGAGCTCCCAAGAAGACTCTGAGACCAGACCAGCTGCCTGGAAGAGCCTCAGACCAACTGAGACACCTGGAGAGGACGTTCTCCACGAGCTGAGCTGCCTGCAGGCTGCGAGCAGTCATCCATGATGGTGGGCTTTGGTGACGCAGCAGTCTTGAGTCCTTTCTGCTCATCAGTAACCTCAAGGCTCAGTGGTTCGCCAGGTCTGCCTTCGGTAGTATCTGGATGTTGGTCTGCGGTGGGATCCGTGTCCGGGTCAGTAGACGTGTGCTGTGTTTCCCCAGGAAAATTTTCACCACACAATAGGCTTCCTGTGCAGCCTGTTGGGATGGGTAGGTGTTGGGAAGGGGAGAAGGGCTTGCCAGGGGCAGGATGGACCTCTCACTTTCAGAGACCCAGGACCACCTTGACCCCTCATCCCAAAGGCCTGTGGGGAGGACTGTGCTTACCAATGGTAGTCAGATAGGAGGCAGCTACACAGGATCCCAAGGTCCACAGAAGAACAGGACAAACGGAACCCGAGCACCTACTATGTGCAAGAGCACCGACTGTGTGCAAGACTAACTTACTCCACAGCTGCTCCGGTCTGGTTGCTACAAAAGGTGGCTAAGGACTACTGGGAAAAGGGCAGAGGCTGAGTAGGCTAGTTGACTCGCCCTAGGTCACACAGGCATGTGTGAACAGACAGATGGGTGAAAATACCCTTGCCTCAGAAAAAAGGGTTTCAGGAGACCTTCCCCTCTCTCAGATGCCGTCTGTTAGCTGCCTTCTCCCGCGGAAGCGCTGTAGCCTGCTTCCTAGGTTCCTTGCCGAGTTACACAGTCGCACGAGATCTCGCCCACGCGCTCGCTCGGAGGAAGGCTGGGGTCCTGACCTCCCTAGCCTAATTGCTGTGCGACTTTGGGTCGCGGCCCAGCCCCGCTGGGCCTCACTTTTTCCACCTAGTGCTCAGGGGAAGTCCCGGGTAGGTTAATTCTCGAGCTGGATGTCTGGGGTGGCGTCCTGGAGGCCCCGAGAGGGCTCACCTGGAAACAGCAACCTCACCCTGGCCGCGGGCGGGGCGCGTTATGTAACGGGGTGCGCGGGGCGGGGCGCGCCGCTATTCCGGGCGCCGCTATTTTTAGCCCATTGATGAGGCTGCGTCGGCCGCCGCCGCCGGGATTCCGGAGACGTCAATGGGCGCGCGTCACGGTCCCCGCCCGGCCTCCCGCCGGGGGAGGAGCTGGGGGCGGGGGGCGCGGGCGCGGCCGGAACCGCGGGCGGCGGGAGCAGGAGGCGGCGGCGGCTGGCCATGGGCGACCCTGCGGGCCCGAGCGGGGCGCGAGCCCGGAAGGCGCGGGCGGAGGCGCGGGCACAGCCCGCCGGGCCAGGTGAGGGGCTCGGGCAGCCGGGACCTGCATCCATCGAGCGCCGGGGTCAGCGCGGTCCTCTCCTGCCCGGCCCGGGGCGGCCAGCGCGGGCCGTGGCCAGGTCGCCCCGTTCCTCGGGAGCCAGCAGCGCAGTGCGTCCACTCGGGCCTGGGGACAGCGCGGTGTCTCCAGAAGGTGGTCTGAGGGGATGCACCGCGCAGCCCCCTCGCTTGGACACATCCCCCTCCTCCCGTTTGTTGATAAGTGACCGCAGGGTCTAGAGGTGGTTCCATGGGAAGTGGCAGCCTAGGTTTGGGGCTAGTTACACTGGTGGGCAGGTTCCCAACAGGTGTCCGAAGGTGCTGGTGGACCCAGGGCTCCGTGTGCCTGCACTGGGCCATCACCCACAAGGGGAATGTTCACGTCAGTGACTCGGACCAAGACAAGGAAGCCAGACTTTGAGGTGAGCCGGACCTTAGGACAAGGACAAGGTGCTGTGCTAGGATTCTGGGTTCTGATGATGGTGTGGGCATTCACCGGTGAGGCGAATAGCTCTGATAAGAAACCGTGAGGCCTTGGCTGGAGCTAAGATCGTCAGTTCGGCCGATGCCTGACTCAGAAGCTCACCTACCCAGCCACAGAGCTTCACACCTGTGCTGTAGGGGGGCTCAGAGACTACATACAGTGAAGGCAGGTTCCCAGGTGTCCGAAGAGAAGGCACGCCTGGCCACGGGCTCCCAGATGTGTGTGTGTGTGTGTGTGTGTGTGTGTGTGTGTGTGTGTGTGTGTGGAGGCTGGGTTCTAATCACACAGCTTTGACAGCGCCGAGCTGTATGGCCACCAGCAAGCGTCTTAACCTTTTTAGGCCTGGTCTCAGCGAATGACAGCCGCAGTCCTGCAGCCCCTTTCTTGTCGCACTGTGGAGCCTGTAAAGTTCTCAGCCATTGTTCTCATGCTGTGGCCATTGTGCAAGGCGGAGTGTGTCCAGGCCCAGCAGGGCTTCAGGAGCCCTGCCACCCGTGCTCTGTGGCAAGTAGGGGCTTCAGTTAGGAGGACACTGAAATGCTTCATAGGGAGGGCCGGCAGGTTCCTGGTGGGTTCCTTCAGGGCCTGGCTAGTCCTAGAGGGAAGACTTTTCCGACTGAATCGAAATTGTGATTCAACAAAAAAGGAAGACTCGTGTTTCTGTTGGATCTGTCTGCCAGATGGAGGGAACAGCTCCTTAGCTGGAATGTCCCTTCACCTAGCTGGCCTTACCCTCAGCTCAAGTGTAGGCCTGTGTGGGTCAAGCCTCACCACCCCTGTCCTACCCATGGGGCCCAGCACCATCTGGCTTCGGTGCTGGGCAGACAGCGCTGTTTTCTAGTAGGGAGATAGGTGACAAGTAGGACGTCAGCTGGTCCCGTGTGGAGTGAAAACAGGTCAGTGTGGAGGTGGTATAAGTCGTGGAGGTTAGGAAACCTGGTGCGTGTGGAGGAAGCAGACAGACAGATGTGGGCAGTGACTTTCCTGGTGGGGGAATCGGCCAAGGCTGTGGGTGGTGAAAGGAGGCCTACGTGATTGGCGCACATGGGAGGGATGGTTTGGGAGAGCAGCGCAAGGTGGCACTAAAGCAGGGCTGATGTGCCCTTTAGAGACTACCTTCTCCTCTTTTGAGTTGCCTCAGCCTTGGGTTTGCCCTCTGCCTGGGGCTTGGAATTGATATGATCCTGTTTGCAGCTGGGCCCAGGGTGCTGGCTTGCTCAAGATGGAACCCCCCCGGGCCCCTGGGCCTTCCCCTGGCTTGGGCCCTCGGCCTCGCCCTCCGTAGTTGGAGGGATGCTGACCGTGACCTCGAGGAGGGAATTTGATCTAGGGATGGATGGGCTCAGACACCTGTTCTTCAGAGCTGTGAATCACCTGGGTTCAAGGTGCCAGGCTATGGCCACCATGTCACCAAGAGATGCAGACGGCCTCGGGGCTAGTTCACCCTGTCGTGGACGGTAGTCTTTGTCCTGTTTATGGTGCTTGGGAGGATGATGGCACACTTCCTGTGGGTAGCAGGTTTGCCACCTTGCCTTCCATTCCTGACTGGAGGTGCCTCGGCTGTTCCTCGCCCATGGCTTTCACTTCTGGCTGTTACCCTCTGACAGTGATGCTAGAGAGCCAAATCCAGGGCCTTAGGCATGCAGGCAGCTGCTGCACCACAACCACTACTTCTTTCAGGGAAAGTCTGGGTATCGCCACAGGCGTGTCCCTTAGCTGGTGGCCTTGGGGCAGAGGTCAGGAGCATGTGACCCGCTTGGGCCTTCCCCTATCTTGGGCCTTCCACCTACTATTGTGGAAATAGCCACTTCTCCTTTCTCACCCCTCTGGCCTGCAGCACACACCCGTAGCTTGAAGGCAGTGCCTGGCTTTTTACTCTTCCCCTCCCTCTTGGCTCCAGAGGGAGGGGAGAATGATGGCAAGTGGGAGAAGGGAGTTGGAGGAGAGACAGGAAGCCTAGGGTCCAGTGCACAGCCGGATTCTACTCTGGAAGCAGAGGGCACGTGCCAACAAGTGTCTAAGAAGGGACCAGAGTCTGGAGTTAGCCTTGTCTTTCCACCTCTCCTTGCTATGCCGGGGGTTGAACCTACGGCCTAGCCCCTGCTAAGCCAGCTGTTTACCATTTCGCTCTCCGTTCCGTCTTGAGCTGGGCTCTCGTTGACTTGCCTACCTCGGGAACTGGCTTTGTGTGTGTTCATTTAAGACCCCCCCCCCTTGATGGCCGGAGCAGTCTGTGTGCTGGGCCTGTTTCCCGAGGCAGGTCTTCGCTATGTAGTGTTGGATGGCCTTGAACTCACAAAGACGCCCCCGCCTGTGCCTCCTGCCTTGGCCTGTTAGAAAATCGTCTACATTTAAGCCTAATTACAGCCTGTCGCTGCTTTAGGGGTGTCAACTGCAGACCGCCTTCTCTTCACTGAGAGGCAGGAGAGGCTGTGCTGTCTGTTGAGGGCGGTGTGCTGGAGCCTGCGTTTGGACTAGGTAGTCTGGTACTCTTCGCCTCACTCCCTGGCTAGGGACTGGGGTCCCGTCGTAGGAGTTCATAAGAGTCTCCTTGCTTGGCTTAGAAGACTGGGCTCGCCAAGACCAGAGAGGCTCACAGAGTCGCACCCCCGGGCTGAGCTGGAGGCCTGTCAGGAGGGACAGGCGCTTTCCCTGCCCTTGTGGGGCTCGCCTTCTCTCGGCTGCACATCCCTGTGTTCCAGCACCTGCAGGCAGGCAGGAAGCAGGGCGCAGTGGTTGTATGCTTTCCTGGCTCTGACATACCCCGATGCTGTCCACCTTCACGTTCCTCAGAGCCATCGCCTGCATGGTCTTGTGCCCTGTGTGGCCCGGGGCCTGCCCCTGTTCCCCCCACTGTCTCCGGGCGGTGTTGTCTCCAGGAGCATGTCCTTGCTCCTCACTCATGCTGACTCCCTCTGTAGGCCACCATGGACAGAGGCCAGCCCCTGCCCCTCCTTGGTGATGGGATGGTGTGAGAGTTGACAGCAGCGTCCTGTCGGCCCGTCCAGAGCGGTGAGTACTGCCTCGGCCCTTGGTGCACCCCTGGGGCCCTTGAGCAGCAGGTGGGGTAGGATGGAGGCAGGGTGGGTGTGGGGTGCCTGGAGAGGATGTGGTCTGGGGGCTGGCAGGGGATGCCCTGCTGGGGGTGGCAGGCGGGTGAGGCTGCGAAGCATGGGAACATCTGATTTCTTCAGAGTGGGGTGTTGCGGGGGTGGGGACGGGGAAGCCTGCGTTCTCAACAGCTTGGGCTGGAGGCTCTGGGTCCCAGTCTCACGGGTGGATGAGGGAGGAGCTGACAGCAGCTCTCGCTCTCGAGGCAGCCTGTGCATGGTTCCAGGAAGCTGAAGGGTGGGGCGGGTAGCCGAGGGCTGGGAGCCTAACAGGGCCATGTGGCTTTGAGGCTTGGCCTGTTTCCAGGTGTGGGTACTGTACCGGGGAGGGCCACCCCTGTCCCCGGGGCATCATCCACCAATATGAGAATGGACGTCCCACACCTGTAGCCAACCCCAAGGTGTGCTTGGCCATCCTGCTCCTCCCCTACCCCCGTACTGAGAGAGTTAAAGGGGCAGGGGCTTCTTGAGGTCCGGCCAGGAGAGAGGCATTGTGGAGTGAAACTGAGAATCCGTGTCTGTGGGCTTTGGGGATTCGGCCTGGCACTCTGGACATACGCGCTGGTACTCTCTCCCCTTTTCCTTGGGACATGTCCCATGTCGTCCTTCAGGTTTGGGAGAGTCTAGAGCCGCCGTCTCAGCCTTTAACACTGCGGCCACTTAACACAGTCCACCATGCTGTGTGGCCTCTGACCCTACAATTAATTTCATTGCTACTTCATAACTGATTTTGCTACCATTGTGAATCACAGTGTAAATATCTGTGTCTTGTGAAGGTTCCGGGCAACCCCAGTGTAAAGGTCCTGCGGCCCCCTAAGGGGTCACGACCCACAGGTGGAGGACCACTGTTCTGGATGATTGTCTGACTGGCTTATTGTCTCCACCAGCCCTGCGGCTTCATAGAGGGGGTGGTCAGGCTGCAGAGTCTTGTGGAGGTAGCTAGAGTAGGAGAACGGTGTGCAGTGGAGGGTGGCAGAGGAGGCCTGGGAAACGAGTGCCGGGCCGAGTGTACACTGGGAGACAGCTTCTGTTACGGAGGCAGGCGCCATAACACCAGCTTGGAGGGTGGGGACAGGGAGAATTACTGTAAGTGGAAGGGGCAGGTGACCCAGGACACGTGGGCTCTGGAGCACCTGAGTCAGGGTGACAGCAGTGGCCAGGTGTCCCCTTCCTCTTGGCCCCTTTCTGCCCCCAGCCCAGACCTGGCCTTCTGAAGACCAGCTTTCCCGTCGGGGACAGCATTTATATTTGCTCTGTTGTTTGGGCGATGTGACTGGGTGGAATTCCCATGTCAATACATTGCCAATGCCACCCTGAGGGGCCGCCAGCCAGGGCCCCGTGAGTGTTAGCGCTGCAGTCTTGTGACGTGGGCACCTGTTTGCCAGGCCTGGGCACGGGCCCAGCATCACGCTTAGTCCGGGGCTCCCGTCAGCTGACTATTTTGGGCTCTTGCTAACCTGGGCCAAAGTCAGACCCCAGCCAAGAGGGCCCTGAGGCGGCTGTCCCGGTCCCCAGAGGCCAGCTCTGGTTTCTGCTATATAAACAGAAGAGGACGCGCTGGTTTGGAGGCAGCCCCATCCAGAGTCTGCTCAGCCAGTGCATGGCCCCAGCGGGGAAGGACAGGCTGCCACAGTCCCCCGCGGCGTTCCTTAGCCTGTGGAAAGAGCCCCAACCAGCCCTGGATTTGTCCTTTGGTGTCTGGGTTTGTGAGGACAAGAGCTGGTAAGTTGAGGGAGTAAGGACAGAGGCACAAAAAAACTTGAATATTTGGATTTTTTCCCCCATTCTTCCCATCCTGCCAGATGGTTCCCATTGTGAATGGCTAAGTCCTTTGGCTTTGAGGGGACGGAGGAGGAGGAGGAGGAGGAGGAGGAGGAGGAGGAGGA